ATGTACTCTGTAAATCTTCACCCAAATAAAAATAAAATTTTAAAAAAATAATAAATAAAATTATGTATTGCACTGGGCAAATCTGCTACAAAAGACCTCTTTAAAGTGCTGAAGAGCAAAGATGTCTCTTTGAAGACTAAGGTGTATCTATCCCAAGTCATGGTATTTTCAATCACCTCAAATGCATGTGAAAGCTGGACAGTGAATAAGGAAGAAAGAAGACTACTTTTGAGTTGTGGTATTGGCAAAGAATACTGAAAGTACTATGGACTGCCAGGAAAAAAAAAAAAAAAACAACTCAACTGTCATTAAGTTGATTCTGACTCATAGTGACCCCCTGTGGGTTTCCGAGGTGGTAAATCTTTATGGAAGTAGATTGCCCAGTCTTTCTTCTGTGGAGTGGCAGGTGTGTTTGAACCACCAACTTTGTGGTTGACAGTCAAATGCCTTACACATTATGCTACCAGAGCTCCTTAAGGACTGCCAGAAGAACAAACAAATCTGTCCTGAAAGAAGTGCAGCTGAAATGCTCCTTGGAAGCCAGAATGGCCAGACTTCATCTCACCTGCTTTGGTCACATTGTCAGAAGGGACCATTCCCTGGAGAAGGATATTCATGCTTGGCAAAGCAGAGGGTCAACGAAAAAGGGGGTGGCCCTCAACGAGATGGATTGCCACAGTGGCTGCAATGATGGGCTCAGGTGTAGCAAGGATTGTGAGGCTGGCACTGGACCAGGCAGTGTTTCCTTCTGTTGTACACAGGGTCCTACCTACAGGACAGCACCTAACAACACTGATAGTGAAGTAGGGCCAGATGTAAGGAAGCTGCCAGACCACATTCCCTTGTAAATTACCTTATCCATGCTGATAAGGAGGAGCTCTGGTGGCATAGTGCCTAAGGCACTTGACTGCTAACCAGATGGCTGGCGGTTCAAACCCACCAACCACTCCTCAGAAGGAAGATGGGGCAATCTACTTCCACAGTGATACTGCCTCGGAAACCCAAGGAGGGATCACTGAGTCTGGTCCAGCTCAGCACATGACAACAACAACATACTGATAAGTAGGGACAAATGTAAGGAATGGAGGTTGCTGGTCATATTCTTTTGTAAACTACTTAAATTACCCCTACTGATAAGAAGGGGGTTGGTGGGGGGAGAGTGGGGGTTTATAATCACCAGGCCATTTGCTGCAGGTCCTAAGGTGTCAACACAGACTCTGTGAAAAGTCTCTTTTGATTTATAGATAAGCAGATGCCTGGATCAATCTAGAGGACCAGAACATCAAAAGCTAGGAATCCCACCCACGTGACCTGTACAGCTTCCTCATTCTCTCCTCTCTAATTGCTGAAAGCCAACTGGGAAATGCTGGTCCACCTAGTAGTGTGCTATATACCTAGTTTGCTATCCCACTGCACACTCTCGTGCAGTGTTTCATTAAAGGCTTGCTCTCTATAAACCATCTCTAACTCTGTGAGTGATTCTTTCTCACCAGAAGACAAGAACCCATTTGGGTTTCGCAGGCTCCCCCTGGCCCCCACCCTGTAACATGTTGAGTTGCACTTCAGTAAAATTCCAACCATTGCCAAAAAAAAAAAAAAAATTAAATCAATGATGAGTGAAGTATTGTTTCCACCTACTTTAAAGGCTTAATTGCAGTTATATAGTTCCTCATAAAAAGTAAACAGAGAATAATGAAGGTGCCTAAATTTGAATCTTGTCACATATCCTACAAAAACATTATAGAACAACAATAGGAGAAAAATACTATACAAAAACTTATACCTTTAGCATATCTAGAAGTCAGAGAATGCTCAAACTTAAAATTACATGTATGTATCAAACACCAAATCATTAATTCTCTCTCACATTCCCACCACAAACAAGGGAAGAGTGTTGAAGAAAGAAGAGGGAAAACCTAAGCTTCATCTAAAATTATCACTAGGAAGAGACAGTTCAAGCTAAGTGTGAAAACAATGAAAAGGGTCCTGGGAAATCAGACACTGACTACAGGGAGAGAATTTAAACAGGTAATTCAAGACTTTGAAAGGCACTGCTTCTGAGGGAGAATATGGTAAAAAGGGAAAGGAAGCGCACCCTTTGAAGATTGGGTGGTGAAGGGAAATAGAAGTAGTAGAAGGAAAAGCTGTATGTTCCTGTAAGAAGAAAGAAAGAATGAAAGGAAAATAATTAGAGGACACACAATCTTCCTGCATTAAAAAGAAGAAAAAATGTTATCCATTTAAGAGATTGTACCTTGCCATGCTGTCAAACCAAACCACCTTGGAACTAGGATTCTTGTAAACCTACATCTTAAACTAAGGAGCTCTGGTAGCGTAGTGCGTAAGGCACTGAAACGCAAGGAGCGGTCACTATGAGTGGGATCCATGGCAGTGAGTTTTTTTTTAATGCTTTGGAATCGCCTTGATGGCAGTAAGTACCTTAAACTAGCATTCTTGAACTCCAACCTACTGATTAAACACCAGAGTTTCTTCCACATTCCTCTTACCATCTGCCTTTTGCACATTTTTGTTGTTTTACTTCAACTTTGTTAGAACACATAACATTTCTGCGTCATTATTCCATTTTTGTCCCCACCTTTGTTTTTAAATTCTACACCCACAATATATTTATGTTCATCAACAACCCCTTTGTTGACACAGCCTGAACCAGGAATACCTAAGAATAAGGAATCTTATAAAATCATTTTTTAATGCTTTAGAATTTTAATGCTTTGGGAGCTCTGGTAGCATAGTGGCTAAGACACTTGCCTGCTAACCAGACGGCTGGTGGTTCAAACCCACCAGCCACTCCTCGG